TTGGTGTCTCATATCCCTCGAGTATTTTTGCACAATCACTTTGTTTAGTCTGGTCATGTACAAATTTTATTTCTCAGTTAAGCAATTCTGTTGTTAGAAGTAAAGACTTGACAAGTCTTGCTTTTAAAAGTCACTAGTCCCGGGTCAAGGGTTTGATTGACCACACACACAACACACACACACAAAACGCTGTTTAGAAGTGTTTCCTAAGAAGTTGGGATAGGAGGTACAGTATATGACAGTGAGCAAGGCATTATGAAATAAACTCTATGGTGAAAAAGATGTGTGACTGTTTGTGTCAGATGCATGTCCAATGTGATTATGTTTCCACTCAGGCCGAAGGATTTGGGGAAAATATTTTATTGCAGTTTTTCTAACAAATATTGTAAAGTGCAATATAATTTTCAAAGCTGCACTTTGATATTTATGGTGTGATAGTAATAGTGTAATACATGTACAACATGATGGATCGTTGCCACATGAGACAGAATCAAAATATTCAGTCCTTGATATTCTAATGCAAGAATCTCAGATATAACTGTGTTGACTTATTTCATTTTATGAGTGGCATACATTATATGTATTAGGTTAAATAAATATAGCATTGATTTAAAAAAAAAAAGAAAGAAATGTATGACCTTTCTGTAAACAGCATCTGAAACTAAAATAGGAACATTGTGGCTCAGGAGCAGTATCTAAGTATTGCGCAGTAAAATAAAGTAATAAAAACCAAAGCTTGGGTTGGACGATCTGCATGACTTAAATGTTGAACTGCAGCATTTGAAACATCTTTATTGCAGTGTTTTGAATTGAAATCAATTCTTTGTTCCACCCAAGTCTCCACCTGGTATGACCTTGTGATCTGATATCAGCTCTTGCATCCACACCAAGTATTAAAACATGTTGTCCTGGTTGTGTCTACAATTTAGTCTATTCTCTTACTTTTGAGTGTACATTAATGGTATCAAATACTAGTTTAATCAATTAAAGAGTAAATGTACAACAAAATGTGAGCAAAATATGAATGGATCTGAATACGTTATCCGGGTACAGATTACCAGCCAATTCCAGTTGGAAATTGCCTGACATACACCATCCATTATCTATACACCGCTTAATCCTCACTAGGGTCATGGGGGGCTGGAGTCTATCCCAGCTGACTTAGGGCGAAGGCAGGGGACACCTGGACAGGTTGCCAGTCGTTTGCAGGACGACACAGAGAGACTGACAAATAAGCACACTCACAATCACGCCTACGGAAAATTTAGAATCACCAATTAACCTTGACATGTTTTTGGACTGTGGGAGGAAGCTGAGAGAACCCATGCTGCACAGGGAGAACATGCAAACTCCACACAGAAAGATCTCAGGTGTCCTCACCGGGATGCGAACCGGTGACCTTCTAGCTGCAAGACAACAATGCTAACCACTGTTCCACCTTGCAGCCCTGACATACACCAGTTCGCCAAAATGTTAAAACTACCTGTCTGAAAAGAAAAATGC